GCTTTCTTCATTTGAATTCCATTCATTCCAGTTACGAAAAAAAGATTATGCAAGTACAGCGTGTTAAAGTAGTTCAAAAACCATTTCCAGAAAGTTATGCCCTTTTTACCGCTCCATTTAAATCGACAGGTTACTCAATAAGTTAGTTAAAAACAATCAGTGAGAGATAGAAGAGACTTATCTAAAATTCACGACACTAAATGTGCACTACAGTTGAGGCAGTGTTTTCAAAACTGATTACACTCTAGAAGTTTTTAGCGATTGTTTGCCGTAGGTATATATATTTAGACGTAGAGCGTTATAATCAAACTTCTTTCGGACTCAATATAACACAAGTTTTAACAAGATATATTTTTTTTAGCTTGCAGATGAGTATTTTGATCATTTTGTCATTACTAAAATGCTTTAAAAAATACTTACATCCAGTCAATCGTTCAGCAAAGTCTTAGACGACAAGAGGTTAATCTTTTGTAAAATTGGGATCCGTTCCCAATCAGATCTGGCTTTGATTTATTCCATACGATCATTTTGTACTCAGCGTCAGCCTAAAAGTTCCTGCTATAAAGAAATTGATCTAACATATGCAAATATGCACCTTGGGGTTACTTTTGTTTCATCTGTACTTGAACAGCGAAATTTGCATACTGTACTGTTTTAACACGGAAATGCTGACCTCGCAGACTTAAAGACAAAAAGAACCACTTGAAACCCTTATCAGTGAAACAAGAAAGCAAATTATTTCGTTTGCATATGCATTTCGTTTTTTATATCGTGATATATCTAGTCAGATGATTTAGGAATTAGTGTGAATGCCTTGTGATTGAGCATCTTTTGCAAAGGACGTAAATATAGGCTTTCGCGCCCTTTGTCACGGCATAGGAATTTCTTTCTTTCGGGGAAGCTGACCGGAAACGTTTGCAGTTAAGAAGCTCCACTATTTTTTTTTCTCTAATTTGAATATAATCTAGATGCTCGAGATGTTTCAATCATTCTCCAATCAATTACAACACTCCTTCGTATCGAGCAGACTTTATCATGTTCATGAGAGTTTTATGGCCGGACTACGTCTTCCTTCCACAGGAAAAATTTCAAGATAGAGTCTGTCACGGCGAATAACTTTTGTTTGTCCGGTATTTTAGAATGGCTCCCATTTAATGACTCCTTGAGGTCGAGTTCAAACAAACTAATCAGTGGTGCGATTGATCATAGTCTTACCTGATACACGTTCTCTAAATTACCTTATATTTTGTAATGGACAGAGTTAAGCATGATTATTGGTGGTCATAAAAACTGTTGGTCGTCCTTCCTCGTCTATTTGGGGCTCATTTATTTATTTATTAACTCATTAATTCATATCCATTAACCATTTAGTTAAATATGTCTATCTATTAGCTACATAATCATTCTTTACATTTCTCTTGCTAAAAGGACAGGATCAGATACGATACTATAAACTGATTAATTATCTGTCACAAAATTGAAACTCTTTTGCGTATAGTTCTTTCGGAAGCCATAGACCCCCACCGAGGAACACCCATTATTCAAAATAGAGAAACAATATTGACCACAACTATTTTTCCCCCACGGACCGACAACGATAACTTATTACCCTCTACCTTTCACCTCTATTTCCCGTGCAGGGATGAACTTAACTCAGACGAGGCCGCATGATAATCGCGCACCACAAAGCCAGTTTCTTCGTTGGCAAACAACAAACCGTTTAGAATGATCAATCAGCATGTATGGATTTGGGTCTTTCAGTAAACGATACTTACGACTGACAACATCCTTAAAAAAAAGTATGCGCAGATGTATGAGTTTCTATGACAGAAAAAAGACTAAAAGTCAACAACACGCTTCTTCTTTTCCAACCCTTTTCTGACATCATAGATCTGACCATGTTTTTGAGTTAGAAATTAGATTGATTTCGGCATGTTAAAAAATACATAGGAACAATCCAGACAAAACCCGAGCATAACTGAAATATATTCAACACACAAAATGAAAACATTGTTGATTAGTGTACTAGATTATTTAAAATACTATTTGCTTTACAGGATGTATCCTTCAGTCTGCAGTGGCCTCTGAACATCAGCTTAAAGCGGTTTTCAGTATGAGCGGACTAAAAGGTTACGCGATATTTTCGACATCACAACATGATGGCTCCACAAGTGTCACGGTTAACTTAACAGGCATTGACGAGACTCTAGCATGGCGCATTCATGAACTGCCTATGATCTACGACGGTAATGCGGCAATGAGCTGCAGTGGATCTGCAGTGGGAGCTGTTTTCGATCCTAGAATGGCCATGGAAGCCGGAGACTACAACAGTTCGTGCAGTTTACAAAGTGCAGCAAGGTTTAGAGCATGCGCAATTGGAGACCTGACGGGATTACTTGGATATCTTGACCCTGATTCANCCTTCAAAAAATAATAAATATTTAAGAATCATTTTTTGCGGCTCTACACTCTCGTTTTCAGCAAGAGAATACGACGGCACAAGTATCCTAGTCTATCCTCCTATGTCTACAATAAAACTGCATGCTATCCAGGAACCAGTTCACCTGGAAAGAACAGCCAATCAGACATTTCACAAACGGTTCTTTCATTGAATGCTATGTCAGCCTATCATTTTTACAAATCTCGGTTTTATCCCAATAATAACAAGCACAACTTCCATTGCTTCCATTCAGATCCAATACAAGGAGAATGACAACACTATGATGCCAGAGGAAACCTCAATTTACGTTGATCTCAAATACGTTTCAAACTCCAGCCAAAAGGTATGTCTTGATACATACAGATATCATTTGATTCATTCGCTGATGAGTATTCACAATGCAACCAACTTATTTCCCTGATTTTCAAGAACAATGACTTGAAGGAATTTCAAATTGTAGCTGCAATGTTGAAATGTTATCAAGCCTCAGATTTGTTATTAACGATCACATGGCTGATTGTTTCTTTTACTAATCAGAGCCTGAATCACAAGTGGCACGTCCATGTAAACCCTGAAGGGGGTGACACTTATGCAGCCATGGGTGAAAGGTGTAAAAGTTTGGGAGGACATTACAACCCTTATGAAGTAGATTTGAAAGTAAGTATATTTGTGAAAGACAGCATTTCTAAACAGTAGCATCTCAGATCAAAAGTTCACTCAATGGCTAAATAGTTCCCAAATCAGTACTCAAGTAAGAAAGTATTTCCTTCTTCTTTCCCATTTACCAGGGAACTTACAAGTCAACATGCTTCTCTAGTAATATGCTGAGGTGTGAAGTCGGCGACCTTTCCGGCAAACATGCGATGCTGAACGTTGGAACAGGAAAGAGTTTCTACACTGATCCTGACCTTCCCTTATTTGGAGAAATGTCAGGTAAGAAACCATACTTGTCACAATTTAAAAAGAGACTTGGCTTTGAGTTATCAAATCAGCATGAGTCAAACCTGGCAAAATTCTATCGATTTTTGTTTTTCTGTTTTAGAAACTGAACAAATTAAAGCGTGAGAACGCGAAACTGGTTTTCCTTTAGAGTGCGCCTTCAACCTCCTTGCCTTCTGTCCGAAAAACTATATTCAATGAGGAACCCCTCAAATGACAAAAACGATCTCTTAACTAGTACGGTATATATTTCATTCATAGTTATTGGTCGTGGAGTTGTGGTACATGCAGAAAACGCTGGGGCTGCCCGCTTGGCTTGTGCTTCCATTACACCAGTTCCTTCGTTGTACATTGAGAAAACACTGAAGTACGTCAAGGGAGCTACATTTTCCAAGTAAGGCGAAAGTATGCATTGGGATTAAATACCAAACATCCTCAGCTCAGTGATATAAAATCAAAGGTTTTTTTTTTTCTTTCCATGCATTTTCTTGAATAACACATGATGAGTATGCACAGTAAAAACTAAGCGTTTCGACAAATAACACTTTATCACTTGCGAATCACGAAAGTGGTCTGGGTCAAAAGGTCATGGAGCGGTGAAAACTAGGGAAAAATAAATTAAATGACAAAATAAATATGAAGGTCAACTAAAGAAAAACTACGGACAAAAATTTACTCACATTGTGTACCATATGAAGTAGAAGAAGACGCTTTCCCGAACAATTTTAATGCAGCCTTCAAAGACACGTGTGAGAAACTCTGGCATTTTGGTCATGTGACCAAGAAACAGAATTATGTAAGAGGTCACAGGGTGTCCTAAAGCAAAACAACCTAAAAAACAACCACAACGTAACCAAAAATAAAAGCCAAATCCTAGTTTTAGACTAAACAACACAGACTTTGTCTCATTCAACAGGAAAGAAGTGAAATGAAAGGTTTCCTTTGCTTTTTCCTCAGAGTCACCTTCACAAAGACAATTAGCGCTGCACTTAAAATCCCATCATGGCGGTTGTTTTATATCCGAACAGAGGGCAGTGAAGTTCAAGACTGTGTCACAGTCAAATTTGGGATCATTGGAAATGGTAAGAACTTGAGTGAGACTTTTGACTGAATAGATTTCTCTGCTGCCTTTGTTAANTACCCTCAACAATTCAGTCAGATTCTTTATCATCCCTCCTTGGTCCAACTGCTGTTTTATCACACCTTCAACCTTCCCTTCTGATGAATCTGTCTCTTAATTAAGCTGTTTGCTGAATGATATAGAAATGTTGCAATGAGAAGTTAAATGCTAATACATTTTTGAAGTTAAAAGGTTACATATATATCATGGTTTGGATCTGCTTTTCAAATACTCTGTACATAGATCCAAGCATGAGGATTATGAAGGAGCCTAAGTAGTAGCAGAAAAGTGGCGGACCCAATATAATTATGCTTTTTTTTTTAGTTTCTGATGGACTCACACCTACAACAAGTGGAACACCTATCAATGGCATGAAAATATTTCTGATGCTTGGCTTGATTTTACTGGCAGCACATGCAAATCTAAGAGCATAAATTTCAATGAAGTGCCATAATTACGGCATCTCCTATCCAAAGGCCACCACAACAATGAGACCATCCAGCCTCAGTTGGTGGGAAGAGGACAATTGCTATCAATCAAGCGATTAATCAAGCGATTAATCAAGCGACATGAAAGCCAATTACTTGAAATCGTTACGAACTAAACAGGTTGGGGAAGGCCAAGGCCGGGAGATGGAGATTGTGGTGCCACTTTGAAAAGATGAGAAAAATAATTATCGAGCCACGTTTATTGCATTGAGCTTTGAGTGGATGTCCTACATGAAAGCCGATTACTTGAGAACGTTACATACTAACCAGGTTGGGGAAGGCCAAGGCCGGGAGATGGAGATTGTGGTGCCGCTGTGAAAAAATGAGAAAAAGAAATTATTGAGCCACGTCTGTTGCATCGAGCATTGAGTGAATGTTCGACATGAAAGCCAAATCACTCAATTGAACACAATTCAACGCGCTCTGTGCTAAGTTGTTCCTTCTGACCTGTTTGAGGTTATACGTGTTTCGGGTTTTTTGCACATCAAGGGAAAAATAAAAACTGAGGCGAAAATTCATCTTGGCGACCTGTAAAATCAAACAAATCTATTTGTTTCATGGAAATCATTTTACCGCTGTGTTTATTGTAAAAGCAAATGTGTCTGTACGAGCGTACAGTTATCATGAAAAATGGAAATGCAAAATGGATTCTTTCCCTTAATTATGAACCCATTTTCTCCACATAAAGTCATAATCTGATTAAACTTGTTCACACTGACCACTCACGATATTTTCCCAGTTGATTTTAACGTAGTCCGCCTCCCGGTTGGCTCAATTGATTAGAGCGCCGGATTGTATTGTGCGGGAGGTCGAGGGTTCGAGCCCCGGCCGGACCGATACTCATGGTCTTAAAATAAGCGAGGAGAATTTGCTTG